ACTACAAGGAGTGGACGCCGTCTGCAGGTGTGCACACGGCACTACAAGGAGTGGACGCCATCTGCAGGTGTGCACACGGCACTACAAGGAGTGGATGCCGTCTGCAGGTGTGCATGTGGCACTACAAGGAGTGGACGCTGTCTGTAGGTGTGCACATAGTACTCCTGTTCCCACACCCTCTTAGTGTTCCACTCCACATTTCCTGATCTACCTTTCAGACGTCACCTGCAAACCCAGGCACTCAGTGGGGAGCACCCAAGGGCCTCTGTGTTCAGCCACCCTACTCTCATGTTCCATCAACACAGCTCCCCATGTCGACACACCTCTCTGCATCCACATAGCCCCTTGTGTCCACACAACTTTCTTAATGGAGCACACACCCTTCCCCTTGTGTGTGCTCAGGGGCAGCCCACTCCACTCCTCGCACCTGGATTCTCTAAACCTGGTTTCCAGTGAGCCCAGGGATGCGCTGCATGTGGGTAGCAGTGGCTGAGGTCCCAAAGCCGCTCCTCCCAGGGAAGGAGCAACATGCTTCCAACAGCCAGTCATAGGGCTGTGTACACAGTACATGCCTAAAAATTGCTGAGTGTCTTGTGACAAGGGCCATCCAAAGGTTTTTCTCTCATTTACAGCTGAGCTGGTCACAGAATGTTCCAGAGCCTCCAAGTGATTCTAGGTGCTGTAGGGTGAGACCCTCAGCCTTAGTGATTATTGTTCTTCCAATTAAATGCAGGCTCAGTTGAACCTAATCCCCTGGCAAAGCCCACTGGAATTTCCCTCCCTTTCTTCCCTAAACAAACCCCTCTGGTATCATTCAGGAGAACCTCTGGCACCCAGCTCTGTCCCTCACTAGCCATCTGAGCCCGAGCGCAGCCAGGGTACTTACTCGATGTCGGTGAAGGCGCTGGCTGGCAGGTGCAGCAGGTGGGCTAGGGCTTCAGTCAGCTGCTTCCCCTTCTCCAGGCTCAGGGGGCTGTGGACGGACAGCAAGGGCGGAGGCACATTACCAAATGGACTCATCCATCCCAAGAAGCTAAAAGTCCCTCAGAGGCCCTGCCCACTCCCTATCTCCCCCAACTCCTCAGAGGCAGCTGCTTTCTGGGCCTGATGCATCACCTGAATTTCCAGCAATCAGACAAACAATGAGGTGAAATGGAATTGTTAGGGAGCTTGATGGGCCTGCAGCCGTGGCTCATCTCAACCATCAGTGAACACATAGCCAGGTGGGGAGGGGAAAGGATGGAGGAGGTCGCAGACCTGTGGCCAGGCTGTCCACTCACAGACAAGACCCCTGTCTTATGTGGCTTCATCCCACAGTGAGAAGATGTTCAAACATGGACATGTAAGGGTACACAGGTGTCAAGGCAGGAGTGGGCATGGGCAGCTGCTCTAAATAGGGGGCAAGAGAACCGAGATGGCTCTATGGCCACAGACACCCCAGAAGGCACTGGGCTGTGGGCTTTTCCACCAAGAGGGAGCAAGCAGGGCCCAGGCATATCTGAACCCTGCTTGCCAGCCCTGAGTTTGGTAGTGAGATTCAAGTTGTCTGTGAGATTCTGCTAGGACTACTTCAAAGAGATATAACACTGCATTGTTACACACAGGCCATGTCTTGACCCAGCAGACCACACGTGCATGCAGTCCTCACCCACGAGTGTCCAGGACCTGCCAGCCGCCCCCACCAGGAAATGTAGCTGCAAATGGGAAAACCAGGCTCAGCCTTTAGTGAACACATAACCAGGTGGGGAGAGGAAGGGACGGAGGAGACAGCACAGACAGAGCACATGTGGACCTGCAGCTGGGCTGTCCACTCATGGAGGAAACACCCATCTTACGGGGCTTCATCACACAGTAAAAGGATGTTTAAATGTTCACGTTTTGGGAGGAATTCCAACAAAGACATTGACATATAGAAAATGGATGAGGCTGTTACGTCACAAACTGTGCTACCCCCAAATTCTTATGTGAAGACTGAAGCCCCAAATAATATGACCTTATGTAAAAATGGGGTTGTAGAAGATTTAATCAGTTAAGATGAGTTATCAGGTGGGCTCTAACCCAGTACCACTGGTGACCACATGAAAAGGGATACCTGGACACAGAGACAGACGCATTTGCCAGAGACACTGTGAAGACACAGAGAAAACCACCTAGAAGCCAAGGGCTGCCTGAGGCCACCAGCAGCTGAGCAAAGGGCCAGGAGAGACCCCCAGCCTCAGTGAGGAACCAGTCCTGCCCCACCCAGATTTTGGACTTCTAGCCTCCAGGACTGGAGGTCACCAATTCCTATTGTTCAGGCCCCGCCCACTCTGTGAACCCTGTGGTGGGCCCAGTTGACTACATGCATGTCACTGCAGTATGTTCTATGGGGTAGTCAGTGGAGCTAGAAGAGGGGCCTGAGGAGGTGGGGAGGGCAAGGTAGGCAGCTGATTATAAAAAGAGCAGATGAGGTCTCCCCAGGGAGGCCTCTTTGGACAAAGGCTATATGGAGCAAGCCATGTATAGACAGTGAGTGCTAAAGGGGAGGGCCCAGTCTCTGTGGAGCAGGGGATGCATCAGAGGGCAGCTGAGGGCTGAGGTGGACCTATTGGGATAGTGTGGGCAAGAAGGGGTCACCTAGACCTGAGAACACGTTATATCAGAGCTGGTATAAGAGACCAGGTGGGGGAAGGGGAGCATAGAGAAGTGTTCAGGGATTTGTCCATGGAATCAGCAGGTGCAGGGACAACAGGAGATGTTGGGGCAGTGCTGATGGAGCCAGGAATCCTGTTCTGGACACACTGACATGGAGACCCCTAGAAGGAAGTCCTGTGAGTTCAGAGTTCTAGAAGCAGCATGGGCCAGGAAAGACAGACACTGGGAATCACCAGGGAGGGCAACTGAGCCAAGCCACTGGAGATAGAGCCTTGGGCCACCCCATCACTGCGGGCCAGCTGGTGAGGGGATATGGGAGGAAGGAAGGAAAGAACCACCATGGAGGTGAGAAGCAAGCCCAGCATTGGCCTCAGGGAGGAACAACAGGTTGTTCCAGAGAGAAGGGGATGAGGAATTGACCACCGAGTATAGTAGGTCAGGGTGGGTCACTGATACATCTGCCAGAGCCAATCCAGGAGGCAGTGGGGACCAGCCTGCCCATACTCTTTGGATGAGGAATAGGAGAGTAGGCAGAGGAACAAGTAATCACCCAGGGGGACCTGGGGTCCACAGGGAGAAGCTGGGAGACACACTGGTAGGATAGCTTAATACCCACAATCTTAGCACAATGCCACAGCAGCATCACAAAGTGGGTCTATCACCCTGACTAGATGAGGAGCTGGGTCATAAGGTGAGTGATTTGTCAGCAGTGAATGAGGATTTCTCCCTAGGGGTGCATGCTTTGCCCTGCGCCATGCACCTCTTCCTGTATGTGAACACAGCAGGTACTCATATAGAAGCAGGTTCTACCCAGGGGCTGACTGCACGAATGAATAGGAAAACACCAAAAAATGCCCCAAATTCCAGTATTATTAAAATCATTAAAATGTAAACTATTAAATGAACCTCCAGAGTTTCTGTGAAAATCATGTAAGACAAGTGAGGATTCTGGGAAGGTAGTGTAGCAGGAAGCACCAGGAATCTGTCTCTCATCTGACAACACTGCACTTGGAATCTGTCTGATATGACTGCTTGGGGACTCTGGAGTCTACCGAAGGCAACCAATACCCAGTGGAAAATGTGGACAGTAATTCCAGGCAATTTCAGCTCCAGTACAGTAGCAGCCAGCTGCTCCCTCCTCTCTTAGCTGTGGCAGGCAGCTATACACAAGCTTCTGGAGCAACCAGCACAGAGCCCAAGGAGCCAGGGTGGGCAATTCAGGCCTTGTCCTGCAAATATCAGGATGCTGTGGTCTGATCAACTAATTGTCCCTTCTAATCACAGAGGTGCAGATACAGAAGCAAGTGGACATTTTTATTGCACTGACTTCTCTGGCCAAAATGACTAGCCAAAGATTTAAAATACTAGCACCCATTTTTTTATACCTTTATTTTTCTCTTTTGCTACTTCTGGAAGCCAAACTTTAAAGATCAGAATATTCAAAAGTTACTAAATATATAGACAAAATTAGAAACTCTATCATACATACCCAGGGAAAACTCAGAGAAGACCCAAGAAGACCATTAGTCTATACCCTGGCCTGATTCCCAGCCACAGAGACAGCTATAACAATAAAAATAAAGTAACCAAAAATACCAGCAAACCCCAGGGAGAGGAGATAATCTGATTTCTAGATATTCAAATGCCTACTTTTCAATAACAAAAGAATCACAAGACTTAAAAAGAAACAGAAAATATGGCCTGTTTAAAGGAAAAGATAAACTAATAATAATTATGTCTGAAAAGACCTGATGGTAGATCTATTAGAAAAAAACTTAAAAATGAGTACCTTAAAAATCCTTGAAGAACTAAAGTTAGATGTCAAGAAAAGTATGTATGAATAAAAAGGAAATTATCAAATAATAAAGAGGTAGAAAACAAAAATCAAAAAAGAAATTCTGATGCTGAAAATAGTTGAAATGAAAAGTTTATTAGAGGGAATCAAAGGCAAGCTTAGCGAACTCAAAGATAGGATAGTGGAAATTATTGAGTCTGAAGAACAGAAAGAAAAAATATTGAAAAAAGTGAAAGAGCCCAACAGACATGTGAAATACCACCAGGGGAATCAAGATATGGATTATGGGAGTACCAGAAGGAGAAGAGAGAAAGGGGCAGAGAAAGTATCTGAAGAAACAATGGCTGAAAACATCCACAATTTAATGAAAACAATTAATATAAACATCCAAGAAGATCAACAAACTCCATGTAAAATGAACTCAAAGAGACATTATATTTAAACTCTGGAAGGCAAAGACAGAGACTTCACTCCCTCATTTGAAAGCATCATGAGAGAAATGATTCATTATACAGTAAGGGAGTCTCTATGAGATTATCTGCAGATTTATCATCAGATATTCTAGAGGCCAGAAAGCAGTGAGCCAGTATGTTCAAAATGCTTAAGGAAAAAACTTTCAACCAAGAATCCTATATCCAAGCAAAACTATCCTTTAAAAAGAGAAGGTGAAATTAAGACATTCCTAGATGAACTAAAGTTGGTTACCATAGACCTGTCCTACAAGAAATCCTGCAGGTAAAATGAAACACTAGGTAATAACTCAAAGCCATAAGAAAAAATAAAGATTTCAATAAAGGTAAATACATGGGGAATTATAAAAACTAGTACTATTGTAACAATTGTTTGTAACTACTTTTCGTTTTCTCTATGACTTAAGAGATTAATATAGGAGGTCTGACAATTAAGTTCATAAACTTATCATAGAAAAAGTGCTACCTACCTTATTGCTGAATATCACCATGGGCACCTTTAAGTCTTCCCCATGGGAAACTATGTACCTAAGCCAGCACATAGTCTACCCTTCAAAGCCATTTTGGAAGTCTTTCTCAAATGGGCATCATAGCTATCATCATATTATCCTTGATGTCCTAAAGGTCATAAAATGTCTTCCTGTCAATATTTTCCTCATATTCAAGTAAAGAAAAAAGTCATTGGGGATGGATCAGGTGAGTAGGGAGGGTGTTCCAATACAGTTATTTGTTTACTGGCTAAAAAGCCCCTCATAGACAGTGTCATGTGAGCTGGTGCACTGTTGTGATACAAGAGCAAGGAGCCAAGATTTTCAGTTAAGATTTTCCTGTTTCTCTACTGATGTCTACTGGGTCTGCTATTCTTCTCACAGTTGGCCATGATTTTAATGCCCAATTCAATGCATTTTTGCAATATTTTCATCAGTTCTCCTTGTTACTGGCTGCCCTACCCTGTCCTCATCAGTGATGCTTTCTCTCCCTACAGAAAACTGTTTAACACATTTGTACATTGCTGTTTTCTTCATGGAAATATCCCAATAAATTTGACTAACACGTCTCTGATTTCACTTATAC